TAAGATCAAATGGTGAGTGACTCTCTTGATCAAACTTGGACGGCTGGATGGTAGGAGAAGCATAGAACTTCTATGCTGTAGGGGAAGTATAGAAACTTTTTCATTTTAAAAAAACAGGAAGAAACAATGTTGAGATAAGGAATATATGAAAATCTTTCTCTCGTGTACCTCTCTAATTAAGATATGAAAACAATATTGAGATAAGGATGGGTCTATCATTTTAGATATGGAAAGAATGTTGATCTCTCTTTCTCTCTCTCAAATTAAGATAAGGAAACAATGTGGAGATGGAGATAAGCATCCATGTAGAAATCTCTTTCTCTCTCTCAAATTTTGTTATTCTATAAAATAGGTAAATAGATCTCTCTCCTTTCGTACTCTCTCTAATTTAGATATCATTGAATAAATATGTATTTTGTCTCTCTTTTATTTTTTTGTTGAAATAGAATGTGTATTAATTTAAAGTTAGAAATGTATCCTACAATCTATATATAGAATTAAGGCCTTCAACATGTGTCTACCCTTTGGCTTAATAATGTAATGCAGATATCTAATTCTGCGAGTGAGGGTGAGAGATAGAAAGCTGCAGGGGGTAGGGTGAAGCAAGTGACAAAGAGGTAGGGCCAAATAAGTCGGTTTATTGCCCACTAAAATCTTCCAAACATTTTGCTTTGTAGGTTTTAGGGAGAAAATTAGGATTCGATAAGTTACGGGAACTGTTTCACTTTTGCACATCAAACACAAACAGTATTGGGAAGATTTGTCTCTAGAAGACAAACCTTTGCCCAAACAAACGCATCCTACGATACTTGAGGGGTAGGATGGAAAAATAAATCTTTATTTTCCTCATCATCATTATTATTATTATTATTAATATTAATAATATTATTATTATTTCTTTAGTGGGTAAGATGGAGAAGGAATCCATATTTCTCTTTCGTTGTTCCTTTTTTTAAGGGTTAGGGAATGTAAAGGTGAGTGTAATATAAGTTGGTGTATCGGGAAAGGGGTTGGATCATGGTGCTAGCATCGTTGTACTTTAGTCACCATATTATGGTTTCCATTCTCGCGAACAACACCTTACTAACAACTTTAAAAAACTAACTTCTAAACTATTTGAAAAAAAAGCCACTAACATCTCAAAAAGCTAACTCATTAACTATTTGAAAAAATTATAGAGGTTGATCTTCCCCATTGAATTACTCACAAAAACGAGAGTTGAAGTAATTTTTTTATTTTTTTTCAGAAAGAACTCATCTAGTAACTTTTAGATAAATTCCAAAATTTCATATAAACAGTACTAAGAATACTGTTGCCAAAAAGTACATGTAGAACATGGTCATATTGAGCAATATAGTAAACGTGCTCCCACGATGCTTGGAGTAGAGCCAACTACTTGGACAAGACCTGTGCCCTGGTCGTGAAAGAGACCCTTCCAACAAACAGATAAGAGGGAGAGAGATGTCGGAAAACAATGTTACAAAATGTCAAAATTGTGCGAAAAGATAATTTCCCACTTGGATGCCTAGCGGAGAGAAAAAGAACTTGGGCTCTTTAATAATCGAATGAGAGGTGGCAAAACTGATGCAATGTGTGTTGAATTTCTTAGGTTTTGAGTTTCTCTAAGCTCATGGGGGCAATTTCATAATGTTTTATGGTTTACACTTCCCATCCCACCTACCCTACAATCTCTCTATAGATTCTCTAAATCCTAACCCTATCTTCCAAAATTGAAAGGTGTAGATCTCTCTTGTTGGGCTATATGTGGCTATGCTTTAATATTATTTTTTATCTACTCTAGAAATAGGAAATACATTATACAGTTTGTCCTAAATTCCTAGAATGTCTGGGATACCTAGCCTCTCTCCTCAGTCATGAGATGGTCCCTTCTTATTCCTTTGCCACGTCTCCACCCGTTAATTTTGGCTTAATAGTGTATATTAGCTAGATTACGTGCGTTGCATGTAAGAATGAAATAGGCAATTACGACTTTCTCATACATATCTATGTACCTTGTGAATCACCTCATGATCCTTCAATATGCTTTCCATATTCTATGGAAAGGTGGTGACTCTATTTTAACTAACTGTATTTTTTTTATTTTTTTCTATTAATCTCATGTTACCTAATCCGTGTATGAATGATGAATAATTGACAATGGTATTGTATCATAACTATAAGGATGATACTTCTTAGGTATTAAATAAAAAGTAAGAAATACCATAACAACTTTGTAATAGTCAACAACCGTATACTTATTAATATGTCAAAACCATATTATGCCCATTCGATATGAAAGACTAACAAACCGTACTAATAACAAAAGGGTGCTGTTTGTATAAAGCATAGGATCTAAACAATCAAATTAGAGCCTACCTTCAAATAGTGTCGATAAATGTGGTTTCAATACCAGAAATCTTTGTGAAAGTGTTAAAATATATTTTTATCATTATTTATAAAGTGTCAAGCTTCAAAAATAGTGTCTATCAACAGAACTATGAAAACTTGAGAATCTTGAAAATTGACGATAAAAAAATGAGTTACAAAATACATTATTTCCAAAAACATGAAATCCATTTTTTTCTCATGTTCATGTATCATGATGTCGAGATGATCAATTTGAGGATATTTGGACATCAAAACATCATCTTCTGGTGAAATTTTTAAGTTGGGCTCAAATTTTATTGTTTAGTGCCTCGGCTCTATATAAACTTTTCCCATAACAAAAGAGCAAATCATTATACTAGCTATAAAACGATAATGAGAGAAGAGTGACCCAGAGTGAAACCAATGTACACCACATTATTATATTTGAGAGAATGGATAAGAAATTACTTCTAAAGCATAGAAATTTTGCTCAAAGATGAATTCAACTGGTAGCTTAAAACTCTTGAAAAGAGAAAATGTATAAATTAGTGTTCGCAAAATCGAACCGAAACGGTTCACCAGACGTGGGTCAGGAAGTGATTTAATAAACCAGCCGATTCAACTGCTCTAATTGGGGCAAGTCCCAAACGATTAAAAAACTGTTAAAAAATAAAAAAAAATCTACTAAAATATGAAAAGCATATAAAGAATGTGATTAAAACAAAACATACTCAAATAAAGTTGAAAATTAATGAAAAAATGGATTTTAACGAATTGATTTGTGCCTAGAGGTTTTTTATAAAATTTTTTATAAAAATATAAAGAGTAATGATACTATAGGACCCTCCCCCACCCATGTGTGTAAGACCCCAAAGGATTACCATTAAAACTGGCACAGATCTCTAGAAAAGTTATCACATAGGTGTAGAACTCCACTTTTTTATAGATCCGTGTCAAATTTAATGGTGATCCTTTGGGGTCCTACACACATAGGTGGGAGAGGGTCCTATAGGATCATTTCTTGAATATACAAATGAGTATCAATGACCAAAATATTTTTTAATCTTTACCATAATGTAAAGAATATTAAAATAGTGTTAAAAAAGCGACTTAACAAACTATTTTTTTAAAGAAATGATCTTATTTTTTTAAAGAAAATGATCTCTTTTTTTAAGAAAATGATCTTTTTTTTTTTTTTTAAAGAAAATGAAGAAAAAAATTATAACAAGTCGATTTGTACCTAGAGTTTTTATTTTTTAAAAAATTTTCTGAAAAGATAGGAAAATATAAAAATGAGTATCAATGACCAAAATATTTTTTAATCTTTACCATAATGTAAAGAATATTAAAATAGTGTTAAAAAAATCGACTTAACCACCTCTGTTTTTAAGGAAAATGATATTTTTTTTTTAAAAAAATGATCTCTTTTTTTAAGAAAATGATCTTTTGCTTGAAAAGAAAATGAAAAAAAAAAAAATGTTATATATAATATAAGCCTTTATTTTTATCAATTAAGTAGTAAATGGCATATGGTTAGTGGTGTAATAGTGGATGTTAGTGGTGTATTAGAGATCTTCATTCAAAGAGGATTCTAGGAACAACGAAATGAATTCTTAAAAGAAAACGACAGTGGTGGATTCGAACTCTGATTCATATACAACGAAATGAATTTATGTATGAAACGAATTCGAACGCTGATTCATATACAACGAAATGAATTTATGTATGAAACGAATTCTTAAAAGAAAACGACGGTGGTGGATTCGAACCCTGATTCATATAAGAACCTATCATCAAAGCTAACCAAAAAACCATTCTAGTGTATTTAATATAAAATTGAAGTAGCATTATATTTAAAGTTTAAAACACTGGGTGACCACCAAAACCGGAACCGGTCACTGGCCGGCTCCGATCTA